ACAGAAATTGTGGTGTGTTTATATGACATAATCTATACAGCAACTCAAAAAAGAAAAGAAAAACTACGGCTACGTGCAATAACACGGATGAATCTCACAGAAATAAGGTTATGCAAAAGAAGATAAAAATACTGTATGATTCCTCTTATATGAAGTTCAAAAACAGGCAAAACTAGTCTATGGTGATATGTATCAGAATCGGGACTACTTTTAGGGAAAGGTAAAGACTGAGAAGAGCATGAAGATTGTTCTTAACGTTCTAAATCTTCTTCTTGGTGGGGGTTACACAGACGTGTTCCATTTGTGAAAATTCATTCAGCTGTGCACTTACTTTTTTGCAGTTTTGTGCATGTATGTTTAACTTCAATAAAAATTTACTTAATAAAAATCTTCCCTCCTTACCAATAACCCCAAAGCCCCTCCTGGTTTTCTTTAAGTCGGTGACGTATAGTTCTCTCAGTCATCCTTGGCTTAGAACCCGAGTCACCCTAGAAGATCCCCCTTTCCTCAGTATGCAAGACCTTTTTTTTTTTGCGGTACGCGGGCCTCTCGCTGTTGTGGCCTCTCCCGTTGCGGAGCACAGGCTCCGGACGCGCAGGCTCAGCGGCCACGGCTCACGGGCCCAGCCGCTCCGTGGCGTGTGGGATCTTCCCGGACCGGGGCACGAACTCGTGTCCCCTGCATCGGCAGGCGGACTCTCAACCACTGCGCCACCAGGGAAGCCCAATATGCAAGTTCTTTTGACCTTTCCTTATAAATTTTCTTAGAGCCCCAGATCCCTCCCCTCAATCCATTCTCACTGGCCCACCCTAGTTCAGATCAAGCCGAAACAATTACATTAACCCCTTAACTAGTCCCCTCTCTCTACTCACCCCTGGCCAATCTATTGTGCAATGTCCACTCAGTATAAGAGTTGGCTCTAGAGGCGGCACACACATACATGAAAATATGATTCACAGTTCAATATATATCAGTAAATGCCAAATTAGTGATAACAGACAAAGGGACAAGAGTTGAGAGAAACCATAGTAGATGTTGAATAAATTCTCCCCCACTACAACATAAGTTCCATGAGGACAGCGGTGTTTGGTTTTGTTTGCTTGTTTGTTTTTTTAATTGTAGTATAGTTGATTTACAATGTCGTGTTATTTCAGGTGTACAGCACAGTGATTCAGATATAGATATAGATTCTTTTTCAGATTCTTTTCCCTTATAGGTTATTACAAAATATTGAGTATAGTTCCTTGTGCTATACAGTAGGTCCTTGTTGGTTATCTATTTTATATATAGTAGGGTGTACATGTTAATTCCAACTTCCTAATTTATCCCTCCTCCCAAGTATTTGGTTTTGCTTTATTTTGTCCATTGCTGTTTCCAGTGCCTCCTAGCACAATACCCGACACATAGTAGGTGAACAATAATTTGTTGCATTCAAACTAACGTATAAATTAGTGACTGAATAATGGCCATTACTATTATTTCCACCATTCTATAACACCTCAGGACTTCCTCTAAGATGTGAGTTCATTTATACGTTTGCTCATTAATTCAACGTCTATTGATGGAGTGCTACATACGCACAGGATATGATTTATGCCCCAGGGAATTTGTAACCTATCAAGTAGGTAAAACAAGGACAGCTGTGACTACTGTGGTAGTGCCCAGGCACAGCATCAGCTGACTCTCATTCTTTTTTTTAAATTATTGACTTCTAGTTGATTTACAATGTTAGTTTCAGGTGTAGAGCAAAGTGATTCATACGGGCATATGTGTGTGTATATATATATATATATATATATATATATATATTCTTTTTCAGATTCTTTTTCATTGTTATTATAAGATATTGAATATAGTTCCCTGTGCTATACAGTAGGCCCTTGTTGTTTATCTATTTTATATATAGTAGTGTGTATACGTTAATCCCAAACTCCTAATTTATCCCTCCCCCCTCTTCCCTCTTTGGTAATCATAAGTTTGTTTTCTGTGAGCTGACCTTCATTCTTATCTTCCTCTGCCCCATCTAGTTCAACTGCAGATCCCAGGGAGACCTGCTGGCCTTCACGCCATGTTAAATAAAATATATAAAAATCATGTTAAATAAAATGATTTTTTTTTAATTATTATTTTTTTGGCTGTGTTGGGTCTTCGTTGCTGCACGCAGCCTTTCTCTAGTTGCGGTGAGCGGGGGCTGCTCTTTGTTGCTGTGGGCGGGCTTCCCATTGCAGCGGCTTCTCTTGTTGCAGAGCACAGGCTCTAGGCATGTGGGCTTCAGTAGTTGTGGCACGCGGGCTCAGTAGTTGTGGTTCACGGGCTCTCGAGCGCAGGCTGAGTAGTTGTGGCACATGGGCATCGTTGCCCCGCAGCACGTGGGATCTTCCCGGACCAGGGATCAAACCCGTGTCCCCTGCATTGGCAGGCGGATTCTTAACCACTGTGCCACCAGGGAAGTCCCAAATAAAATGATTTTATTTAACATTTCCCTATTTGGGGACCTTGAGGTTATTTCTAGCTTTTCACTGTGATAACGACACTTCTACAGGCTTCCTAGTGTACCTTGTTATTTCCTTAGTATAAAATCCTAGAAGCACAGAGGTGAGTCAAAGGGTTTACACTTTTTAAAAATTTTCATAGGTATTGCCAAACTTCCCTTCAGAAATGTTACACAAGAGTATGCCCAGCAGCTGTATGTTTCTCAGCACAAGGGCCAAAGCTGGGTGTTGCTATTCTTTTCTACCTTTGCCAATCTGATAGATGAAAAATGGTATCTCTGTGCTGTTTCAATTTGTATTTCTTCGAGGTTGATGGGTATGGTAGGTTGATAATGGCTCACTCCCAAAGATCAGTGTACTAATCACTGGAACCTGTGAATATTACCTTATAAGGAAATGGGGTCTTTGCAGGTGTGATTATAAGGAAATGGGGTCTTTGCAGGTGTGATTAAGTTAATGATCTTGATGGGGAGATTATCCAGGATGATCTGGGTGGGCCCTAAATGACATCACAGCGTCCTTCCTTGTAAGAAGGAGGCAGAGAGATTTGACAAAGACAAACGAGAAGGCCATGTGACCACAGAGGCAGAAACGAGTGATGAGATCGCAAGAATGCCGGCAGCTACCAGAAGCTGGAAGAGGCAAGAAGTATATTCTCCCTGGAGCCTCAGAGGGAACATGGCCCTGCCAACACCTTGATTTTGATTTAGTGAAACTCATTTCGGACTTCCGGCCTCGAGAACAGTGAGAGAATACATTCCTGGTGTTTTAAGGCACAGTTTGCAGTGATGTGTTACAGCAAAACCATGGGAGGCTAATACGATAGGTTTTTCACATGTTTATGGACCACATGAAAAAATCCTTCTGACTTTCAAAAACTTGTAAAAATGAAATATCATGCAATAACATGAACAGTATAATTCTATTTTCGTGAAAGTAAACCTGAATATTTGTATATGTGTTTACAGGTGTACACAACTGCCTAAGATGTCTGGGAGGATGTACATCAAACTAGTAACAGTGATTAACTGGAGGGAGGTGTGGGAAGGAGGTGGGGGGAAGAGAAACTTTTAGTTTTTTCTCAAGATGCATCTCTGTTGTTTGAAGTTTTATGAAACTATATTCATGTACTAATTGTGTGAAAATATAGATAAGTCACATCTGCTTGCTGTAAACAATAAAATATGTAGAAAGTAGAAAACAAAACTGTCCCTCTCCTCTCAATTATCCCCCTTCCCAGAAATATTTGATAATAATTTGGCGTGCGTCTTCTCAGGCTTTCTTTCCATGAAAAAGTAAACACAGGTATGTCATTTTTAGAGAACAAAAAAGAAGAGTGAGTACCATATACATTTTCACTTAAGGGTGTTTCTCCAAAATCATTTTAGGATCCTTACGTGCAGGGGCCTCATTCTCCTGGGCTAGTTGTTGCACAGACTCTCACCGTAAGAAAGTCCCAGAACTCTTTTTTTCACCAACCTCCCTGCTGCTTTGAACTTTCTTGTATCTGTGAATTTGACCATACGTATACACATCGCTGGTAAAACTCCTCTGCAAGTCGCGTTTAAAATAGTTTTAAGTACTCCCATTCTGCCTTCCAGTCTGGTTTTAAAACGGACGCTCCCACCAGTAGTTCCCCACTATGGAGGACACAAGATCCACTTTTTCAAACTTTCCTGAACTGGGTGGAGAGATGATATTTTAACGTTATCACAGGAGGCATTTCTTTAAGCATGAGGCTGGTCGGGCATTTTTCATACGTTCATTGGCTCTCGAGGCAGCTTCGTGAACGCTTCAAAGGTCACTGGGCAGACAATCTTCCTTCTCAACGAACCAAATCCGAATTCTTTCTGAAACCAAGACCGTGAGTTATTCGATTAAGGACCTAGTCCGGAGCTATGGGGAGAAGGTGATCTTTGGGATTTCAGCTTGGGTGACTCTGGACACCTGAACAAAGTCGAAAACCTGAACTGGGGCGGGGGGCGCGTTGGAACCCCACAGGAAAGAGGAGCGGGAGGCCGCCCGGCATATTCCGGGGTGCCATATATTTCCCCAATCCTGTGCCCTACGCAGCCGGCGAGGGCGACCAGGCAGGGAGGGACCCAGCGCTGCGAGGTCTCCAGGCACCGAGAGTGTCCCCGGCCGGTCTGTGGGTCCGAAGCTTTCCCGCAGGGGGCAGTGCCGCCCGCCGGCGCGCGGATCCGGTGGGAGGGTGTGGAGCCGGTGCGGAGTTCTGGGGGCTCTCGGGAAGAAAGTTAGGGGATGCCTAGGGGTGGGGGCGGGACCCGAGCGGTCGGCCGGAGGGTGGGGACAGGGCCGCGGGGGTGCAGGGTAGGGCGCGGGGAGGGGGTCTGGGCGAGTCTGGGCGCGAGGGCGGTGCAAGCTGCGGGGAGGCGCAGCCCCGGAAGGTGTGAGCGAGCGGCAGGCGAGTGTGAATGCGAGTGTGTGCGCGCCGGAGCTCTCCGGGTTCTGCGAGGCGCGCGGGTGTCAGCTTGCAGCAGGGCTCCTCCCTCCGGCCCCCCTGGCCCGCGCGCCGGTCCCTCCTCCCTTTCCCCGCTCGCCCCTCCCCGGCGGGCCAGGCGCTGGGACACCCCGGCGGAGCAGGCGGCGGCGGCAGCGAGTTGGGGAGCCCCGGGCTCCGCGCTGCCGGTGGGGCCCGAGCCGAGCCGCCCCCGCCCCGGCCCGGCCGCGCCGGCCCAGCTTGCCTCCGGGCCACGCCCTGTCAAACTTTGTTGCTGCGGCCGCCGCGGCGGCGAGCGGAGCGGGCCGGCCAGCGGGAGGGAGGGAGGGGCGGGCGCCGGGCCGGGCGCGGGCGGCGAGGGGCTCCGAGAGCGGCGGCCCCGGCCCGCGGCCCCACCATGCCCCAGCTCGGCGGCGGCGGCGGCGGCGGGGGAGGCGCCGGCGGCGGCGGCTCGGGCGCCGGGGCGGCCGGCGGAGGGGATGACCTCGGGGCCAACGACGAGCTGATCCCCTTCCAGGACGAGGGGGGCGAGGAGCAGGAGCCGAGCAGCGACAGCGCCTCGGCGCAGCGGGACCTGGACGAAGTCAAGTCGTCCCTGGTTAACGAGTCGGAGAACCAGAGCAGCAGCTCGGACTCGGAGGTGAGGAGGCTTCCGCGGCCGCCCCGGGGGACCCCAGCCCCGCGCTCGCTCACCCGCCTTCGCCTTTGTGTCTCCTCCGTAGGCGGAGAGGCGTCCGCAGCCCGCCCGGGACGCTTTCCAGAAGCCGCGGGACTATTTTGCCGAAGGTAAGTGCCGGCCCCGGCAGCCCCCACTCCCGGCCCCGCGGCGCTCGGGGCTTCATCTCCGGCCGATCTCGGTACCCCTTACCCCCGTGGCCGTGCCCCTGCCCCTGCTCTCCGCCCCTGTCGGCCTCAGCAGTCCTGGGGCGCGCGTGGGGGGCGCTCTGGTCTCCGGTCCCCACTCCGGGTCCCCAGCCGCGGCGCTGTCCCGGGGACCCCGACCTTACCCCCTCCTTGGTCTTGCCCGCAGTGAGAAGGCCCCAGGACGGCGCGTTCTTTAAGGGTCCCCCCTACCCTGGGTACCCGTTCCTGATGATACCGGACCTGAGCAGCCCGTACCTCCCCAACGGACCCCTGTCTCCGGGAGGAGCGCGCACGGTGAGTGCCCGTCCCGCTGCGCCGGGGCGGGTGGGCGGCCGGGGCCCGCGAGATGCGCCCCCGGGCTCGGCGACAGGGTGGGGGATGGGGGATGGGGCCGTCCCGTGAGGATCCTGGGCAGAACTTGCTTACGGGGTTGAACTACTCTGGCGGTCGAGGGTTAGGCTGCTCTAGGCAGTGCCTGCATGAAAGGAAAGTGCCTTTACATGCTCCCCTTTTGCTGGGGAGCGGCTTTGGGGTCCACTTCTGGGGTCCTCCTTGGTCTCCAGAATTCTTTGCCCGCACTAAAGGGAAACTTGGATTTGTGCCGGTTGGGCGGGTGTGTGTGTGTGTGTGTGTGTGGGGTCTCGCTTCCTTCCTGGAAATCGGTCAGCTTTCCCTGGCAGTTGGGCAGTGGGGCCGGGGGAGCAGGGTTGGCGACGCTGCCCCACGACTCCAGTTTCGCTGGGCGGCTGTGAGTTCGTTCCTAAGAAACCCAGTATTCGTGGCGGGTTATTCACACACACTCCTCCCCACCCCCAGCCCTCGCGCGGGGGCCTCAACTTTTCTGTAGAGCTCGGGATTTTAAACTCGCCGAGATGATTTCGAGGGCGAATCGAGGCATTCTTCAAGTTGAGGAACTTGGCTTTTTCGCCCTTTGTTGCCGGCTTTTCTCATTTAAAGCGAGCGCTGCGACACTTTAAACCTGTTAATGGGCGCGCATTGTGTGCTGCGCGCTGGCATTTAGAGCCGTGATTAAGCAAATTGACCGGGCCCCAGACGACGTGCAAATGAGGGCGGATTCCTTCGCCCCCTCCCTGGCTCTAACTCCCGCCCCCCGCGTCGCGAGGGGCACAGCCCGGGGCTGGCCAGGCTTTTTTGTCCCCTGAGTTGCCACCCCACCCGAGGGCCCGCTGCCCAGGTGCTAGGTCCGATGGCAGATCTTGAGTGAACACCTGCCTACTATGCGCCAGGCTCTTGCGCGCTGCTGCTTGGGCGCCTGCACGCCGTAGTGGTTCACTTTGCTCCCTGCCCGGTTTCCCAGTGCCCGCCAGTTCGTGCTGTTGTTGATTCGGGGTGGAAGGTGTTTGGCGCCTTAAGAGCTGACCCGACAAACTCACTTTATGCTCAAGTTGTCCTTAAATAATAATCATAGTTAAAGGGCTGCCTGAGAAACGCTGGTGCTGAATGGACCATCCCTGCCGTCATGGTACAGTGGTCGGTGGAGAGTGGAGACATCTGCCGCCGGTTCAGTGGGGCCGCTCTGCCGGCCGGTTGGGGTGTGGGAGTGGAGGTTGGGGACTCTGGCCAACCGAGAGCAGAGTGGAGCCGCACAGCCCTCTCCTTTCAAGCAGGGAAGACCCTGCACCTTTGGCCCTGCCTTGTTGCATCCTGGGAACTCCCGAATGTAAGTCCTGAATATGAGCTGGATGCGGGCATCTGGCTGTTGCTTTTTCTCATTCATGTTAAAAGAAAAATGTGTGAGTAAAAGTTGAGCAAAACAAACTGCAGTAACGTCGTTCAGGTTTTCACAGATTCTCTTCCGTGTCCGCAGATGTGGCTCAGTTCTGAAAGTTTTAGTAGGGTTTCTGTACGTGTGTGTGTGAAAAGGTAGGTCACTACACTATCAGAGTCCCTTTTCTCCATTTTACCTTTAGTTGTCTGGGAAAAGGAGTTTGGCATTTCTGTGAGTCAGCACCGATCCATGTCCTGGTGCAGGTAAAGTCGCCAGAAATGTTCCAAATATGACTAATTCTTTCACTCAAGCTAGCTATTCCTTTCCCCTTTCTCACCAGGGCATTTTGATTCTTCCTCTTTGAATGGTGACGACTGCCAGTCTTCATATGCTGCTCTTCCCCTCCCCCTCAGGAGCCCAAATGGGACAGATTTTGTTTGTGTCAGTCCCCTACTTTCTTTTACCATCTTCTACCACCCTTCCTTCTTTCTACCATCTTACATGTACTTTTGACTAAGAGCTTCCAAAGGCTGCTTCTTTTTGGTACTGGCTATTCCTGATTACTGCATCCAGGCCTGCATGGGATTTTTGGAGCCCTCCTTGAGGAAGCCAGCCTTTCCCCTCTGCATGCTTTTGACTGTCCCTGCTCATTCCTGCAGTTGTTCCCTGCCTGAGCCCATGTCACTGTCCTCCTTTTTGAGCCTCCAAGAACACTCACCCTCTCCCTGTTGATCCTTCATACGGGACCTAGTATGTCCTGCCTCACTCTCCTGTTTCCATCTTGCCTCCCTGATGAATTGCCCTTGCAGAAAAGTAAGTTCAATGCCCCCATTGTTTCTGTGCCCCTTATGTGTCTGTCATGGTATTTTGACCTGCCTGGTTACAAAGTTTACTGAAGTTTCCTGCCGTTAGATCAGCTCAGTAGAACCTGCTAATTTGACTCTATCCTTGGGCGTCAATGACTGTTAGGAAAGCAAGGGAGGAAACACTTAAGCACTTGATTGTCTGGACTGTAGGACTGAGATGATGCTTTTCCTTTGGATGATTATATTAATGTGATTAATGATTATATTAATGTGATACTGTAGGCAAACTATAGGTGCAGACAGTGGGCCTCTGTAGGGGTCCCTGCCTGGTAAAAGGAATGTATTGATAGAGAGATATGGGGGGGGAGAAGGGGGAGGAAGGTGGCTGAAGGGTGAGGGGGGTGGTGGATTCTATGATCTGGTCTCTCTTTTAGCAGCCTAAGTCTTTTTTGGTTTCGCATCTAAGTTTCACAACCTTAGTCCTTGCTGCTCTAAGGCCTATAAGTGGTATAAAATTGGGTGACCTTAGTTCTCTTACACCCTAACACTTTCTGGAAATACCAGGCCAGAGGCAAACGTGAGGTTTGGCTGGAGCGTTCTCAGGGTATTAATTGACCCTAGGAATAGTATTAATTGACTCTAGGAATAGCAGCAGGGCTCCAGCACCCTCACCCACTGGCAAAATTCCTTCTGGGACAACTGGGGGCCGGCCAGTCCTCCAGTCTGGCCATCTCCTCCCTGTTCATTACCTTTGCCCTCCACTCTGCTTTGGCTGGGAGGCTGGGAAGGGGCCTCTTCCTGAGGCTCTTTAGAGAAGAGGTCCCCTTAACCCGGGGTGTGTGCCAAGCCTCTGAGCCGTGATTCATTCTCATCTGGAGCTCTGGGGACCCTGTGGCCTGTGAGGAGAGGAATAACGGCCACAAGTCACTTTTCACTCCTTCCAGTGGTCACACGAAATTATACATTCATTCATGAAAAGGCTTCACCAGTTCACTAAACCACCTTGGTGCTGTTGACTAGAATTTGGTTAGGAAAATGTAAGTCAGCACAGAAGAAAGCAGATGTCAAAAATAGTTGGACTAATCAGAGCCACAAAGAAAATGCAGCTTGTGGTTCAGCGAGTGAGCAGCAAAGTGACAGGCGTTCGACCGTGACCACAGTGTGCGTGCTAATGACATTTTGGAAAAGAGCACTTCCAGGTAGGGTTGCTGAGGAAATCTATAGTTTGGGGTCCAGTGTATACATTTTAGAGCTGCCTTTGTGCAGCTCAAGCACCAAGTTATTCATAGATTTCTCAGACCATCACAACTCAGATTTCTGTAGGAAATTACTCTGTCCTCCAAACAAGTCCTTCGCATCCCACTGCTTCCCATGGGCAGTCCTGCTGATATCCTGGGTGCTCCTGTTTCCTTCCTGACACAAAGGAGTCCAAGCAGAAATCTTTGTGTACGTATAGAGACGTCTTCTGGTTTTTAGGAGTTGTATGTAAAAGCCAAGTATTGATAAAACCTCTTCTTTTGGAAGATCGGTATAAACATGCTGCTTTTGGGAAAGTTCTTTTAAGCCATTTCATCTAAATATAACTTCTGTTCTATTTTTCTCTAAATATAACTCAGGGTTTAATGAGGGCTTTTCACATGGAATGAGCATTTACGAGGGCCTTGCCTGCGTTGCTGAAGTTTTGGCACTTAGATTTCTGGGGTGACAATTGATGACAAACTCTGTGGAGGGACTCAAACCCTGTCAGTCCTTTTTCTTTGGGTGGGTGGATCTGACAGAGAATACCTGCTTGCTCTTGTTACAATTTTGGAGAGGTTTAGGTTGGTCTCATTCTTTAGTGATCTTACTTCTGGGGAATCTTGAAAAAGTAGGCCAGCACATGTACACACACACACACACACGCACACACACACACACACACAACCTTCAATACAGAGTGTTCCAGCCTTTACAGTGATGTGTAAAGTTACCCCAAAAAATTGTGGCATAAAAAGGAATTTAAATGATTAACTCATTGGAAAATGCATAATGTAAAGATCCTATATTTCAACTTAAGAGTCCATTTTTACTTGCTAAAACTGGGGAAATTCAGATTGGCATCCTTAAGATAAAAGTCATAACGCGGGCTTCCCTGGTGGTGCAGTGGTTGAGAGTCCGCCTGCCGATGCAGGGGACGCGGTTTCGTGCCCCGGTCCGGGAGGATCCCACGTGCCGCGGAGCGGCTGGGCCCGTGAGCCATGGCCGCTGAGCCTGCGCGTCCAGAGCCTGTGCTCCGCAACGGGAGAGGCCACAGCAGTGGGAGGCCCGCGTACCGCAAAAAAAAAAAAAAAAAGTCATAACGCCTTGACTTCCTCTGATATTTATTGTAGGCCTATCATGGGCAATGACTAAGGGACTGTGGGAGTTAGGCTGAATTAGACCCAGCTTTGCCCTGAAGGACCTAAAAATCGAGTTAGGAAGAAGTGATGTTAGTACCAACCACTATAACAGGAAGTCCACGTTAAGAGTCAATAAAATTCAGAGAAGAATTTTCAGAATAAAAAGAAAAATTGTCTTGGGCTGGCATGGTCAAGGAGGGCAGGTAAAGGAAGTTGTTTTAGACTAGTCCCTGAAACTCATCACTCTTTAATTCAAAGTAATTTTTGTTAACTATAAAAAAATTTGAACAGTACAAAGGTATTTAGAGTGAAAAGCGGAAGTCCTGCACGTACATCTGAAGGTAGAAGCCAGCACAGGGAGAGCAAAGGCATGGAGTGGGG